ACGAAAAAAAAAAACGGGCCAGTTACGATTATAGTTCAATTTAGTCAAGTGAAAATATTCAAGCACGAAATAATCCGCTGAATAAATCTCATAAGAACGGCTTGATATCCTTTCACCGAGTCCCTCTCAAAATCAAAAAATTAATACGAATCGGTGCAACTTTTGACGTCTTTCCCTGACTCGAGTACAGGATGCAAATTGGGGAATTGAACGTGACGAAAAAAAAAAACGGGCCAGTTACGATTATAGTTCAATTTAGCCAAGTGAAAATATTCAAGCACGAAATAATCCGCTGGATAAATCTCATAAGAACGGCTTGATATTCTTCCACCGAGTCCCTCTCAAAATCAAAAGATTAATACGAATTGGTGCAACTTTTGACGTCTTTCCCTGACTCGAGTACAGGATGCAAATTGGAGAATTGAACGTCACGAAAAAAAAAAAAAACGGGCCAGTTACGATTATAGTTCAATTTAGTCAAGTGAAAATATTCAAGTACAGCTGGGAATCGATGCAAAATTTGAACAAGCGACTACAATCACCCGTAGAGTCGTAACGGTTCACTGTCACGAAACAGTGGGCGATTAAATTGGCAGGAAACGGTGGAAAGTTGAATGTCGGGAAAAAGTTATCGGCATTAATTTAGCATTATATCTTTACTCCCGTACTCGATGTGCGTCGACATAATTATGTAGAACCACGTTCTAGGGAAACGGCATGGTCTTCGAATGAAATACGGATGGCGCACAATGGAACCGCCACATACCGTATTTTTCACATCTACGTCCTTTCCTCCCGTGTAGGGTGCCATCAAATCGATAAATTATTGAATACTTATCCACATTTTACTTTCCTGGCCAACCAGACGTACTTCTACGCGACTACGCGTGGCACATCATCAAAGCCGTGCTTCCATCGATTTTTCATCTCGAATTGTTTCTTGATATAAGAAATGCTTGTTTTTCGTGAAAACTGAAGACTCAAAAAGCTACAGAGTTTCGCCGACGTAAGGAGGTCTTATACAGCGTACAGTCATGTCGAGGTGCTTCTTTGAAGCCAACGGGACATTCCGTTGGCCATCTTGCTCGTCCTGGGAGCAACCGAGGTCGAGGTTTTTTCTTCCCCTTTTTGTCTTTATTTTTGTCCCCGCCGCGTCGCTCCCTGAACGGGAACGAGCACGGGGCTCCTGGTAACGTGACAATGGTCTCGGTAGGAAACGGGATGTCGTCCTAACGGACGCGTCCACCGGAGGGCGACGCGTTTGGACATCTCTCGCGAACCAAAACGCGTACACCCCGGTGGACACGCTCCAGTGAGACCACACTCTCCCGCTTTTGCATCGAGTCTTTCCACCGTAAATCTAGGGTATATCTCGAGAAGGAACGGGATTTCTTTCACTCTCGCGCCCACGACGCGATATACCCCGTGTCTCGGCAGGACCTGGACCGTTTACGTCCGAGTCTCCTTTCGGAATCGGCACGCAGATCCTGGATGGTGCTCGAATAAAGTGCGCCAGGTATCTCACGGAGAACGAGGATAAGTACGTACACTCGAAACGAGCCCCTTCGACTTCGTTCGAACGTTTTTACCTTAATTTTCGTTCTCAGCGGTGGGACAAAGGAGAAGGACATTTTTATCCCAGATAGGGCGAACAGGCTCCAGCCGAGTCCTCTTTGTGGTCGAGTTATCTCTATTTTTAGTTTCATTCCGAAGGTTCGGGCAAAAAAGAAGAAGCACGCATCCATTTCGGAGAGGCTCGAAACCGCGGCTCCTCTTCCTCGTTAAATTATTTTGATCCTCATTTTCGTTTCCTCAGGGTCAGGTGAAAAAGAGACGAACTCCCGCAAACCCCTCATAAATTCCGAGCGAACTCTCAAATGGTGTTAGAGATTAGACGAAAAAACCGGCTTCCCGAAGGCCAGGGCGAGGATCCAGAGATGGAATTTGAGAACAGCGTGTCACACGTGCCGGAGAAAATGAGCATGCCAGAAACCGAGCACCTCCAATCGACGCTTCTTCGTCGTTAAATTAATTTTATCTCCACTTTCATTCCTTTGGATCTACGCGAAAAGGAAACGAATTTCTAGATAAACAGCCCATAAATTCGACAAAACTATCGAATCTACAAATTCTCTCCGTTAGATCAGTCCGAAAGGTTGGTTTTCCGAAGACCGATGGAATTCATTCGAGATTTGGACACGATGTGCCAAATACCAAAAGCAGGATGAAGTCGAGCGACCGCGGACTGACTCCTTTTCATCGTTAAATTACTTTTTTCTCCATTGTCATTCCTCAGGATCCAGGCAAAAAGGAACCGAATTTATACACGAACCTGCCATAAATTCGATACGACTCTCGAATCTACAAATTCTCTCCGTTAGATCAGTCCGAAAGGTTGGTTTTCCGAAGACCGATGGAATTCATTCGAGATTTGGACACGATGTGCCAAATACCAAAAGCAGGATGAAGTCGAGCGACCGCGGACTGACTCCTTTTCATCGTTAAATTACTTTTTTCTCCATTGTCATTCCTCAGGATCCAGGCAAAAAGGAACCGAATTTATACACGAACCTGCCATAAATTCGATACGACTCTCGAATCTACAAATTCTCTCCGTTAGATCAGTCCGAAAGGTCGGTTTTCCGAAGATCGATGGAATTCATTCGAGATTTGGACACGATGTGCCAAATACCAAAAGCAGGATGAAGTCGAGCGACCGCGGACTGACTCCTTTTCATCGTTAAATTACTTTTTTCTCAATTGTCATTCCTCAGGATCCAGGCAAAAAGGAACCGAATTTATACACGAACCTGCCATAAATTCGATACGACTCTCGAATCTACAAATTCTCTCCGTTAGATCAGTCCGAAAGCTCGGTTTTCCGAAGACCGATGGAATTCATTCGAGATTTGGACACGATGTGCCAAATACCAAAGGAGGATGTAGTCGAGCGACCGCGGACTGACTCCTTTTCATCGTTAAATTACTTTTATCTCCATTGTCATTCCTCAGGATCCAGGCAAAAAGGAACCGAATTTAAACACGAACCTGCCATAAATTCGATACGTCTCTCGAATCTACAAATTCTCTCCGTTAGACCAGTCCGAAAGGTCGGTTTTCCGAAGACCGATGAAATTCATTCGAGATTTGGACGCAGGGTACCACATACCGAAGACAGGACGAAGCCGAGCGAACGCGAACCGAGCATAGGACCGTGTAAATCCTCTTCGACTCGGCTCGTACCTGTTGCCGACACGACGTCCTAACGGTACTCCTTGGTCGTAACAGGTGCCCAATACGAGCCCGACGATGCCCGATGCCTGACGTCCGATGGCGATGCCTACTTAGGCGCAGGCTTACGGTCGCGCATGCGCCCGCCGGCGAGCCTCGCTCCTCGGTTTTCCCTACTTTCAGGTTTTTTACACCTGCACGTCTGCGAACGGCGCCCAGGGTCAAGCCCAGTCTGCAAAGTCCCCGACGAAGAAGGGGCCGACACCTGTTCGGGTGATCGTCCTCGAGCCGTATGAAAAAGACTGATTAACCTCCTCCTGGATGCGATATAAAAAAATGGCGAAATGGCAAGCAACGTTTTTTACCGCCTGATTTTCCTGCCTCGCTCGCAGAACTGGGTTAGTCGGCGAACTGGGCCACCGTTGGCGCATTTCTATGTAGCGATAAGATTCGAGAAGCCAGGGCAGTGGCGACACTTGCGTCGAAAGTTTTTGTAGAAAGCGCTCCGTCGACGGGTCTTTCGTTCTCCGTGGAGAAAATTTCTAGGGGCAAGGAATACTCCGCTTGATACCGATCCTTCGCGAATTCGTAACAGGGGGAAAATCGAGAAACAGACGTCACGCGAAACAATTAATCGCGTTCCTTCCTGCGAATACCTCGCCGTGGAGTATGTTGTCATCGCGTGAGCAGCGACGCTAATGACACTACATTTTCAACGATGGTGCAAGCCGTGCGCCGTTGCAAAATTTCCCGATGGTACCCGACTGCATCCTTCGACTTTCACGCCTTGTACAGGATTTTACGGGAATTCGAAATCTAGCACGGAAGTCTCCAGGTTAGTCAAAATTACCCAGAAGATTTTCGCCCACGAGTCACTCTGCTTCCACCTGCAAAATTCAGACCCCGTCGCGCCTCCGATCCTCACCCCTAACCAGGAAAACGGAGAATATCCAAGGAAACGAAGACCCAGCGAGCAGAAATCATCCGTTAAATTAAAACCACGAAATGCGGCCCCTGCAATAATCTAGCCACCATAAAATCCTACTTTCTAATTGTCCGGCAAGCACGAGGAAGAGGTACGGCGATCATCTCGGATTCGCTATGTTTTCCTCTGGACGATCTCCCGTTCCAGAGGTGTTCCTAGTCTTCGTCGGACTTACCGGAAGAAGAGTCTCTGGAGGGTCTGGAGGGCCGGGAGCCCAGGGGGTGGTGGGGCTGATAAGGGGGTGGCGTCGCCGCGCTATCGGACCCGATTCCGCTACTGGCCGCGCTTCTCGTCCCACCCCTGTCCAGAGCAGTGTTACCACCCACGATGTTCTGATTGAGACATCTTCTGAACTCGATGCCAGCCAGGTTGCCGCGATGGCGGTGAACGGTGTCGTAGTCCCTGGGCGGCAAGAGAATGGGTCCGCCGTCGTTCTCCGAGCAATTTCCCCTCCCTGCAGGGCAGAAATCGATCTTTGAAATTAATCGCCATCCACGGGAATCGAAATCCGCAGAAAAGCTCGGCCGCTCCAGCCGCAGCCGAGTGCAGCCTACGGTCTCCAGCGGCGCGGATGCTGCGCGAGTTCGACGACCTCTGGCCGAGGTTTCGCCGAAAAGATCGGATCTCTCTCCGATCTCCTCGGCGAGCGGCGAGCTACTCGGTTGCTCGTTGCATCGATTTCGAAAGTCGGCAAGTGGACTCGGTCGTGCTACTTTCTCGGGGATTCCCTACGAGGGGTCCCCATGCGAGATGAATCAAAGGGTTGGACTCGAGAGGTGGATCCGAATGGACCAAGGGAACCTCGTGATCAAGGATGAACCGATGCTAACGAATCGGTCATTTTTCATGTTACTTTTTCCCTTTCTCGCTCTAACTCCTCATTTCCACGCGTCTTGAACAGCCAGCAGTAAAGGTAAAAGCAAAACATTCACCCCTCAGGTTTCTCCATTTACTGTTTACGAACATCCGTCCGGCTCGACTAAATCTCAAGGGAACGAGTTCACCAATCGTTCACCTAAGTGCTACGTTCCAACTATTTCACTTCCCAGGGAGAAAAGGAGGGATGGAGAGTACTGGTAGAAGGAAAGGAGTCATGTTTACGCATCGAAGTGCTAATTCCGGGCATATCGCCCACGAGCGGGTAGCAAAACAGTCACTCACCAAGTTTCGCCCTCAACTCGGCAGCCAGAGATTCGTAGATGGTCGCCGTTTGCCCGATTCCGTGCCTGAGTTCACCACTGCCCTCCGAAGATTCGGACTCCCTGGTGCTGCGACCATCGCTGCCCGGGTTATTCCTAATTCGGTTCTCCGTTGACGTAACTCTCGCCAGGTTGTCCGAGTGGGAGGCCAACGCCTTCAGTTGGCCGCCCAGTATCTCGGCGGTCGCCGCCGAATCGCACCTATTTCGCAAAGAAACCACTGAGTCAGATAAAGTTGCCGCATTTTTGCAAATCCATCGGTCCTAAACTTTCGCCTTAAGGTGATGCGAAACCGGGACCCGAGGAATCTCGTATAGGGAACTTCTCTCCGATCCGATGTGCCGAACCGTTTGAAATTTCAACACGTAAATACGGAGACCCTGATGAATGTCCTGGTGTCCGTAAAATTTGAATTTTTATTAAAAAAAGAGAAGTAAAATCTGTTGACAAATAAATTTCTAAAACATTCATCGGTGTCGATACTTTCCTCGGGGCCTCCCTATTTATGTGGTAAAGTCTCGAACGATTCGGTGTTCCCAGTTTGGAGAAAAGCTTTATAAATGTGACGAGACCCCTCGGTCGCCATCTTCGTATCACCTTAATCGCTCGTCGATCGAGCGGGCCGTTTCAACCCTTCTTCTTCGGCTTAAGGGGAAAGAGAAAAAGCGGAGGAAGAACGAGAATATGTCCACTAAAAACAGGGAGCCTCGAAGTCGATGCAGTCTTTGGAAACAGGTTCCTGCATTACCGCCGGAGTTCTTCCCTCGTTTCGACTATTTTTACAGAGGAGCAACAGGCTTCGTTTATAAATAGCCAAGTCTCGAACCAGATCGCGAAATGGGGTGCTGGGGAATCGAGGGATCCCACTCGAATCGGTCCCACAAGAAGCGGGGAGCGTGGAACACGTTTCGAGGACGCAGGCGATGGGCACCGTTTAACGGCGCTCGCTTCTCACGTATTTCGGTCAACCCCTGCCGCTTTGTTCCCATCCTCGCTACCTTGTTCCCACCCTTCCTAATTATGCTCTCCCACGGGCGTATCTGCTCTGTTCAGATATGGACTATTATTTAAATGTCACGTTATCACAATCGGTACGCATGAACGTGCAAAGAGATCCACGTTATCGGGTAAGGATTATCACTTAAGGTGAAGTGAAACACGTCGAGGAACTTGATCGACGTCGATAGAGAAGATTTTTCTAAATGCCTACGTTGCTGACGTTTGTTTTTATATCGACAGCTGGGTCCAATTATATTGGGTATTGTACCAAATAGCATACTCCACCTGTCGTATTCGTACAATAAATATCAAGAAATCGAAGTAAAACTCCAGAAATCCTCTGGATTCGAGCTTTCTGAGGTCCTAACTGACTGCAGAGGGACACCCTGCGCCATCTGTGATTTCCAGATCAATTAAATTTTCACTCCGAGACGTCGTATTTCCATCGTTTTGGCATACAAGCGCATACAACACTTTTTTTGCCTTTATCTCGTTCAAATGCGAGTTTATCGATTACCAGAGTGTTCTAAATTGTCGTAAAATTGTCCTGACCCTTTCGATTCTCATATCAGAGCCTTCGATAATTGTATATTGATTGAAATATCAGAGCTCGACGCCATTTTGGTTCTGGTCTAGGCTGAGTAAAAAAAATTTTTTTGAAAACTCAAAATTTTGAATGTGTCAGGACAATTCTTAGATGATCAGGAGTGATGTGTCAAAGTTTCGGACGGTTTGGTGTAATACCCTTAAAAAAAAAGTGTTGTATTCGAATCGACTGATTTGAAGGGTGTTTCACTTCACCTTAAACCACAGAAAGTCGCATCACCGTGAAAATGTAGGCGTGGACGCGCGGAGTCCACGCGTTATCGGATCCATTAACATATGTTATTTAAATCGCGAAGAGTACAATTCTATTCTATTCTCTATTCACTACAAATACCTATGCGTGCAGAATCGCGTAATCGGACAACGAGATTACTCCTTTCATCGATCGTAGAAAAAATATGATTGTAACCCACAAACGTGGAGGCACGAAGCCCTACTATCAGATGTGGGTTTTTTTATGCAAATGTGACAGCAATTATAAAAATGGTATAAGCAAGAACTCTATTTAAAAGTAAATTCGTCCCATGTTCTACGTCGCATGAATTTACAATAGGGGTATTGCTGCTTACAGTAAGGTTTTTAACGAAAAAAAAAAAGAAATGATCTAGACCCCTTTCATTCATAATTACGGGCAAAATTTCCGTACGAAAACGGGAACGTTTCGGCAGAAACGTGGGGCATGGACGCGAGGAACACATAGAATATCAGACATCGTATTAGATATCACTGAAAAAAATCTTTTTGTAGAAACCTGTAGGCGTGGACGTGCACCGGGTTGTTCGTGGCAGGGTTGGGAAGAAGAAGAGTTGCGGCGACGACTTCGTCTCGTTGCACCGCAGCGAGAACCGCGTGTCCCGGTACCAAATGCTTCACTGCCGACCTGGTGGAACCTCCAGGATGGACGGTCTGGATGATCTTCAACCCCTTGCTGCTGACCTGTCGAACAAGAGAATCCATGTCTCGTGTCAAGCTCGTATATAATAATCGAGCCACGATTGCGGCGGCAATGACCTCGAGGAGCTCGTGCGTCGGCGCGTGTAATAGAACTCGCTTAATTACGCATTGTTATATGTAGAATAAGTCCCCGCTGCATACGTAGCGGACCAGTTCTCGGGATAACCGGTGGGAGTGGGTTTAATGAATTTAGTTGCAAATTAGAAGGTTGTTTCGCGCCTCGAAGTGCCGAGGAAGTTTTCGTTCGTCTTTCTTTCTCTCCTCCGTCCGCGCGATCTCGCTGACTTGTTAAATTAGACAGAGCAGAGTTTAGCGTGCACAATGGACATAACTTTTAACCATAACTATGGCAAACCGTCTTGCAGGTTGGTCGGAGCGATGTGCAATTACCGCGAATCACGGTGCGCCGCCGTTTTAATGGCTCCTTCGTCACGCGAATGCGATGCCATCCCGTGATAAGATACGTTGACAACGGAAAAAAAAAAGAAATAAAAGAAAATCTTCCCTTCAAGGACCGCCACTCGGTTTGGCTTAATTGCGTGTTATTGTTTTTTCAGAGTGGAACGCGGATTAGCACGAACTGCGGCAATCTGTTATCGCATGCTTGCCGTTATCGAGCTCTATCTTTCGGCGATGCTTATTTCGCACTCACTCCAAGAGGACTATCGTTCGAGTCGATTTCGACCATCGAAGGTGCGAGTATTCTCGATTTTCGCGCTCGGTGCTGAATTCCGAAATCCATTGTGAATAATTTAAACGTCGTGACTCATTTCAAAGGCATCCCAGCTAGTAAAGTCGCCTTAATAAGCGAGAACGAGTACATTACGCGGGACGCTGTACAGTCCTCGGATTACTCGAGAATCTCGCCGTTAATCATTGGGTGGCTTCTGCCCACGCGTTTTATCATTAGCAATCGGACTTGAATGCATAAGTTAAATCCAACCTCTACGATTAAGAAAACCAACTACGTGATCTTATACCGACTACCGAGAATAACGCCCGAAACGCCCATGTTGGTATGAAAAAAAAAAGGGCCTTAAATAATATATAAATATAGAGTATGAAGAAACTCGAAGGCGGTCATCTGCAGCGGCGGGTTATCCGTTTATGGATGTTCTTTTTCTTACTTTGATTATAGTATTGTATGTTATAGTATTAGTTATTGCAGGGAGAATTACTTGAGTGCATCGTCTATCGCGGTACAAGGGAATTTTCAAGATGGCCGCCATTTGGGTAGGTATGCGAGAATTACGGCGAAAAAGCGCTCCTCAAAGAGAGCGTAAAAACTGGGCCAGGAACGACACACGCGACAAATGACCCTCTTAGTCGGTCGCGCAATAATTATTACGCCGCGCTATTAATTTCTTTCTCACCGAGTGTAATAAATAATTATTATGATCACGACATAATTGGCTCGGCACCGGCGGGGCACTTAAGGCACCAACGAAAGGTTGCCTATGGTAATAGCTTCGTTCTTCGACACTATTTTTGCAAATGCGAGGCGCCGCGGCGCCGTCGTAAAACCGCGTTCTTTTGGTCACCTCATTTGAATGTTTATCTCCCTTCCTTTATGGGCCCTGGATGTCTAACATTTTTATTCCCCTCGCTTTTCTTTCTCGTTTTTCTATCATTTCTTTCTCTTTTTTTTTTTTTCTTCGCTAAAAGCCGAGAGGGAAAGTTGAGGATTTTTATTCGAGCGTTTCGCAATGCAACCGCGCTCGGTGCAATTTCTGAATCGCCGGTTAAACGTTCCAACAATGGCCGCTCTTATAACAACGGGCATCAAATCGTCAAATCGTAATTTCCGAAGCGAACGCACATACGCTCAATTCCCTCGTTATCGTTATTTCTACGATCATTCCCATCGCCGGTCCATGACGAACGAGCCACTTACTTCGTGCAACTCCTCGCATACTTATAAACAAACGAGGAGCTCGTTTCGTACAATTCTTCGTGCACTTATGAACAAACGGGGATTTTGCTTCCTCCAGCTCCTCGTGCATGTATAAACAAAAGAGAAGTTTATTTTCTGTAACTCCTTGGATGCTTATAAAACAAGTAAGGAACTTTTCCTTTGCAACTCCTCAGGCACTTGAAAACAATGAAGGAACTTGCTTCGTGAAACTCCTGCAGCGTTTATAAACAAACAAATGAACAACAAGACGCATATTTCCGGCGTGGTGCTCTCGCTAGATAATTGTACGGTCACGAATATTCACGATAATTTCCATCTTCATGTATCTCGCAAGTCACAATCTTCACAAGTTTCCGATTATTTAAAAACACTTTAATTCTTAATCGAATTTGGCAATATTCGTCAGCTTAAGCGTCTTTCAAGGTTTGCATATAATTTCAGGGGCGTGTAAATTTCTACTCCCATTTTGGATTCAATCGGATTTCGGGGTCACGCAAGGATGCGAACGATAAACGACTTGAATGGCGAAACCATAAAATGCGAAGTACTTTCAAAAGTAGCGCGAAACTTTTTCCAAGTCTCGGCAACACTGCGTACCTCGGAGAGAGTACTTTCTACCCTCGATACTTGTTCCAGTAAAGGAACAAAAAGAGGAAAAAAGAATACGATATAAGAAGACTAACTCGACTAGCTAAATTTACCCAAAATCTAAACGGGCATTTTGGATCGCGTTTACTGGGGAGGGAAGGACTCCGATCTTCGTCATTGGTCGTTAATTATTTATTAATCACACGTCCAGTCGTAGATTCGCGAGTCAGTCGTAGAGCAAGAATCTGTAACGACGTCTCCGGCGAAAGTACTGAGCGGTTGACCCGTCAATTCTCACATTCCGACACGAGCCGTGTACGTGCACGTACCTCCCCGAGACTCGGTACACACACGGAAGGCGGTTTATTACGTTACATCGCGGCTGCCGGGCTGATTTCTAACCGGGCTACCATCTCCATTGGCGGATGCCGATCGGCGCGCGTTTGGAATCCCAAAGGTGGGTTATCGTCGCCCATTAAAGGCGACTGGCCTCTCGGCGATTCTCACGGGGGTCTCGCGGCCATTTTGCCTCCATTTTGCCGCCATTCCGCCGCCATTCTGCCGCCATTCTGCCGGAATTCTCCTCCAGTTTCCGGAGCCGATCTCGCAATTAAGACCATCTCGCATGCCTGCAGAGAATTAGCCCACTTCGCGCTGCACGTTGATTCTCCTTGGTGGAATTTTCTCATTTCGTGCACGTCACGCCGTGCGATAAGCCAAGATATTTTCTCCTTTCCGATTACCCGGATCGGTGTTATCGTTAATGGGAAAATTCGCTGCCTCGAAGCGTCCTCCGCGAGTACTCGACACGGGTTGCTGCCGCAGTCACACCTGCGTTAACCGCGATTAAATCGCCTTCCGATGCACCTGGTTGACCTGGATTACTTTCGGGACTTTTTCCCTCTTTTCTGGTTATCGGGCTAAGTTTTACAACAATCCGAGTCGCCGTCAATCTCCATGCATGCCCAGGGGCTCCGCTGCACTTTGAAGCAGGTTCTTAGCGGTTTCGCTTGACGAGTACAGGCAACTTCTCGTCTAGGTTTCCCCGCATTTACATTTGCGGAGTATAATCGGTTTCTTACGGGAATGCCGGAATTTCACTCGGGGCAGCAGAGACAACGGATGACGGTTGACAAGAAAAATGTCAACAACGATGTTTGTTGTCGCTATCTTTTCCTACGCGGAAGAAGGTCCATCTTGCTCTCTCCAGAATTAGTGCGGAAATAAAAATCATCTCCATCATCGATTCGTCCGATTATATATTCTGGGGGTTTCGAAATGCCGCGAAATTTTGTCTAGTTTTTAGATATATAAAAATGCAAGGCGGAGGCGACCTCCCCCGCCAAGGAAGGTTTCTATTTCCGGGCATGATCCCGGGTTAAGGTGAAGCCGGATCTTGCGTTGGTACCACTCACCTGTAACGTGACCTTGAAAGGCTCCTGGAGGCACTCGCGTTCCAGGAGATAAGCGATGGCACCGGGCATGGCGTCCACCCCCTTGGCCTCCCTCGCCCCCAGATACCACACGTAATATGAACTCTTCTTGACATCTTTCCCACTCCGTAGTCGCAGGGCCATCACTCAGACCCTAAAATCAAACGAAATCCCGAATTACCGCTAAAGACGAGTGCAAGAATTTTATAACGTAAGTATCATATATTATCTTTAACTAAGGCACAAAAAAGCTAAGAAGAATTCACTTATTGGGCCAAAACTGAAATCTATCATTGATTAAAAAATTAATCCTTCGGGCATTTTCATAAAGATTATTCCCTTTATAGTCATTAAATCTACGGTTAAAAAGTAATAGCTATAATGTTTCAAAGGTAATAAATGCTGTCTAACCGCGATCGGAATTTCTACTTGTCAAGAAACATCAGAATTGAACGGTATTTTGTTTAAAATCGTTATATCTGTACACGTGATAAATAGTGGGGAATTACGAATAGGAAAACTGAATGGTAAGCAATTTCAAAAGTTCTTTCGTTTTCATGGGTCAACTTGAAAGTGAACAGAAAATAGGACTATTTATGGAACGACTTAATACAGTCCCTGCATCGTTAATAATACATTGGGCTCAAAACTGACAACGAGGTTCGTAAGTGGAAAAAGTAAAATCGGCCACGGGTGCAGTTTGCACTTTCCATCGAACCACCAACGACCCAATACCACGTTTGCCGGAAATGTAAAAAAAACTTAACATCGGGACGAAAGGAAACCTGAAACAAACGCATGCCTAACTCGAACTCATCAACGATTCCCGTAACTCACAAGAAGCAAGGACGAGCTTCCATTTAAGATGATGGATCCTCTGACGTACGGAAAATTGTTCAATTATCGTGTGAAAAATTCCGGAAATGATTGCAAGTACCAGCGAACAAAGTAGCGTCCATCCCAGTATGCAAGGACTGCCTTCGGTTTCTTCGACGGCGGAGTAATCGTTCCTCCGTAACACTCCCCGCCAGCGAACAAGAAGGAGTCACCCTTAAGGTAAGGAAAGTGGTTCTTGGTCTAAAACGAGTTTCTCCCATTTTTTAGACTCTCCCTTGTTCGATCTAGTTTTCTAGGTTCGCACCGTTCCTTGGGCACAACCAAACGCCCTGCACCGTTCGGCACTATTCTGGTCACCGAGTGTACCGGTCGTTATACAAGATATTCACCATCCGTAACCATCTTTCTTGGTTATTGGATATATTAAGCGTTACAAGAGAACCACCGTACCGTCTACTCGGGATTACTTTCACACTTAGGCCCATCCACCGATCCGTTCTCCTTTCCCTTCGCGACCCTCGGAGCGGTTCCCATCGGAACCGTGCGATCGAACCGCTCGTTCAGGGCTACGTTCCGAAATCTGCCAAGTGCAGCATCGAACTCGCTGCACCGTGACTCGTCCGCCCTGTGAAGTTACTCTCTTCCTTTAAAAATGTACCTCCACAGGAGTAGAATCGAACCGCTCGTTCCGGGCTACGTTCCAAAATCTACCGAGTGCCTCGTCTGCGTCCCTGAAGTTACCTCGTCACTTGCCGCATCGCTGCAAAATTGAACGCAGCGAAACGCTCGGATAGGCTCGCGGCTCTTTCCGCGTCATCCATAATAGTTATCTTCTTATTTTCACCCAATCGAAGCGTTTTACCGCACGTCAATTTCCAGCGATACCCCACGTGAAAACGTGCCCACCAACTGCCTTCCGCGGCAAATTTCGGAGCACAGCCCCTTTCCAGCGAAATTTCACGGTACCACGGCGCACGCGATACTTTTATCATTTAATGGAATCGGACCGATTCTTCAAACCAGCCCAACCAAATCGTGTTCCCGAGAGGCAGCGGTATCTCAGTTCCATGGGTAGTAAGTTAGCAGGACTCGGAGTCAACCGAACTCGAGAAAACCTCCGTTCGTTCGTCCACTCGACTTGCTTCTATTCACCGGTGACTCACGTTGAACAGCTGTTCGAACATACCGCTAACGATCACCCAATAAGAGACCCCGAAGCTCCCTCGAGCACCATCGGTTGGACTCGGCGACGCCGCGGCACTTGATAAACGAGAATATAAAAATATTTCATGCCGATGACCAGACTACCGAATCCACTGCGTCTCGATAGGTCCACAGTCGGGACGTCGGGAGGCATCGCGCTTCGCGGGGCCGGTGGGCAGAAACCGACTCACCTAGAGACGGCCCGAGATGCTCGGGTCGTAAGGTCGCCCGTAGAGCCGGAAACACGATCCCAGGGTCCCCGACGGCGGCCGACGAGCGCGGAGCTCATCCACTGGCGCTTGGGCGCGCCCGAGCACAATGGGGATCGGGGGCCCGAGGACCTCCCTCGAGAGCGCCGGACGCGAACCCACTAAGCTCGGCCGGTAAGGCGGGGAATGCGTAGATCGGTATCGCGGTCTCGACCGGCGGCGGGCGCACTGCGCATCACGTCCTGCGTCGCCCTCGGTCGGGCCCGGAGTGCCGGCGCGCCGCGGCGGTCTCGCCCCGCGCGGCAGAGGGAAAGAGAGGGAAAGAGAGGGAGAGACCCGGGCCCCGACGAAGCGACGCGGAAAACGGAAAAACGGGCCGCCGCGCCGGGAGGACGCGCTACGAGGCCCAGGGGAGGGGGAGGATCCCTTTCTCGCGAGCGCCACACCTCGCGCTCTCGTCGCTCTTCGCGAACGGGAGAGAACGGGCCCTCGCGCTTCTTCGCCGGCGAATTCGACCATTGAAATGCGTATCATCAATGATGACTCTTCACCCGTTATGGACCAATCGAAGAATTTCGTTGCATGCAATTTTGCAGCGACCCGGCAAGTAAAAAGGCGTCTTTAAACGCACGCCGGAAGTTTCCTCCCTACCCCGTTTCTTTGCAGCCAATCAGAAGCTTCCCCTCGTGGCAGTCGCGCGACGCCGTCGAAAAGTGAAATATCGGCCTAATACGGTTTCTATGCGACGCGAGACGGGGAGACGAATTAACCGCGTTATAAAACGGTGAAGTGTACGTCGAAAAGCAGGGGATATCGACGGCACGATATTAAATCGGTATGCGACCCTCGCGTCTTTAGGAGTCGAGATTTGAGATCGAGGGGATCACGAGGCGGCACGAGGTAAAAGTACGGCGGGGTCAGATTTCATTTTAATACCCCTCCCTGAAACTAGTGTCGCCTCTGGTGCCGGTCTCTCGAGCCACTGAAACCGGCCTCGATAGCGGAGTCACCCTCTCTACCGAGGAGTTCGCAGACCTCCGGCCTGAATTCGACGCGACTCGCGACTCGCGGCTGGGCAGAACGAGACGGAGAAAGGCGGCGAACGGCGCGCGAGAGGGAGAAGCGGAACGCCTATCCCTTCTCTGCCCTCGGTCCAAGAGAGAGAAGGGAGAGAGAGAAGTATCTCGGATTACCTTTGCGAGGATGGCAGGTAGGTTGGTGGGTAGGTAGGTTAGGTTCGCACCGAGGAGCGACGATTCCCGCGGTGGACGCGGTTAAACGCGCTGCCCGTCGTTGGCCGAGAGGCCGGGCCAGACCGACTCCCCTCCACCTACGCGCCGCTGCACGTAGATACGGCTTTTAAACGTACCTCTCTTTAGCTCGAACGCGAAGAATCTACAGGGTGGTCGGGGAACTTCGAAAACCCCGTTTCTAGAAGCATTTCTGATGGAGAATATCTACCGAAGAATTAACGCAAAGTATAGGATCGAAAAGGAAATGTACCTCCGTGATTTAAACGCCTGTCTCTGGGTACTGTAAAACAAAATGGCGGCTTTGGACAAAGAATTCAGAAGTCTCCATAGAAGCCAAAAAGGATGCGGACGTTCGATGCTCGATAAATAGTACGTTAGCCAACGGATGGCGGCGCTGTAATCGTCTCTCCGTCTCTCTTAATATTATGGCTATGTTTAGCGAATTGCATTTTTTTTTATCCAACGCACAATATTCGCCTTTCTATATGCGTCTCTCTTCCTCCCGAATGTGAGATATCGTTGGCTAACGCACGCGATCTCTCTTTTATCCCCACTTATGGTTCGTTAGCCAACTTTTGGAGCATCGAGCGCTAACATAGGATCCGGGCTTCCATGGGACTTCTGAATTTTTTGCTTTGGTAAACGGACCCTCCCCCTCCAGGGATTATTTATATTCTGAGCGGTATCGCGTCCTGAATGTATTCTAAGGACGGGTCTTCTTTCTAGGGTGAAGAGGAGGTCGAAACGCGAACGAAGGAACAAGGGTGCCGACGGGAAAAATTCAGAAGTGTGCAGTCGTTACCCGAGGCCGAGATGCACTGGCTCCCTTCCTCCTACGCGTCGATGCGCGAAGCCATGGGATACGAAACGTATCTGTATTTAACTCGCGCCGAGGGATCTACAGGATGGCGAAAAACACGGGCAGAAGATTGGCCTAATTTATGTAGCGTTAACTGTTACGAATACGGAATGTAATCGAATAAGCGAATGAAGTATGTAGACATCGAGAATGGGAAACGGATGAGAATGAAAATTTTGGTCGTCGAGTTGGTTAACTTTATAGTACCCGAGAAGTCTGAAATTCTGATCCATGCGTAAAAACGTGTGGAGTGCTTGGAAACGTGATAGGACAGCCAAGGGCGGCAACTTGAAAAATTCTACCGTACGACCGTCTTTTCTCCGCCTACGCGTAGGTGTGAGGATTTGAAGATATCTACGGAGTAACCTTTAATGCTCAACAATGGCGATATTAGTTCTGAAACGGCGACGATGCTATTACCCAATGTTCTCGAATAAATTATGCGATAGATCGTGCTGTTTTTATTACCTTTAAGAGACTCCGAATAATTACAGGGAAACTTAAAATATACTTTTGCGTGTTAATAGTTTATTTAAAGAACGTTAAAGAATAGACTCTAGATCCGGTAAACGGGGAATTTACAGCCGCTAAACCAGTTTTGTTATTGTCAGTAAACTGAACATCGGTGTAGCAATTATTTACCCATTAAACGTTAGATCCGTAAATATTGAAAGCCCTTTGCTAACCACGAGATCAAAAGAGTAGCATTTTTCAACGGTGCATCTTCAGCGCGTCTTGTCTAATCTCTGGTGGAGTTATTTTACCCCTGGATGCATGTACCAGCGATAAACCTGTCGAAACGCTTAAAAGGTTGGTGACATCATAAAAAGTAGAGATAATTTTCTATCAAATGCAAGCATTGTATCCGTTTATTCACCGATCGCTTTGTTAACCTTTTTTTCTATCTAACGCGTTTCAGAGGTTGAGGGAGAGTACGCTTAAGGCGTCTTGCCGCAAAAGGTCTCGATGGCAGCCCATTGTATCTGACGTAAATTTTTAAGACCTTGACTCACCGTTGAACGTTAAAGCCACGAATTTTACGGGCAGCCGGAAAAAAAGAACTTCTCGAGTTAAGCACGTACCAGGGGCGTGTTACCAGAAGTTAAGATTGGAAGATGGCAACATGACCGAAGATAGAGAGGGTGAGAAGATGAACCGTTACTCTTAAAAACAAGTCACGAATAGCATAAGTATTTTTACCTTAAACAGCTGCGTATTGTACGTAATTACATCTCCTTTGTCATGTTCCAGATCAGGAATAATGAAAAAAAAAAGAAAATACCCCGTGTCATCGAATTTGGCATCGGACTTTTTGATCGCGGAGAACCGCCTGAAGTCATCTTAACAAGATATGGAGTCGCGTTATAGAGATTGTTAAATGAAATTTCTGGACAAAGAAGCTCGTGGAACGATACTTTGTATCGTCGACAGCATTACTCCACTCGTACTTGAAATATGCACCGACTGGTTTCCCTTTAAATTCGCTACGACTCCAAGGGAAGTCCATCTATCAATCCCATACTTTGTATTACCGTGAGTAATCCCTGTACGCGACTGGTTTCCTTTTCCTTTTCCCTTTAAACTTGATTTAGTAGCTGAAAGAGTAATCCAGCGTTTCCCGTTTACGGGGACTCGAATGGTTCTGTTTTAAAAACAAGTCGATATTCTCTTCGTAAATGTTCTTCGTTTTCTTAGAGACTCTATTTGGCATCGAGAAGAGCAATCCGTCCATTTCTGTCTGGCAGCGTCTCGGCGAACCCGAGAGGGTAGATTACATCGCGTACATCGGGAGTACTCGTTGATCGGGTTTTTCTGTAAGGCGTAAAATGCAAGTAATAGCGCTACTTATATGGAGACTCTTCTTCAGAAATTAGTACGCAATCTGCACGCTATTTATCGTTCGGTGGAATTACGGAACGGTATTTATCGCCGATCATCGGTACTTAAGAGCCCTCTCAGACGTCACGCATTCTACCTGATCTTCTCATTGGCTTAACGGAACGATTAAACCAACGAGAGCTCTAAATCTCGTGAAAGGTTTTGCCACGAATATCTAGCCATCATTGCGCAAGACTGCTTGGTGAAAACTGTACGCGGAGCTAATAAACCCACTAAGCCTTCCTGGGACAATGAACGGAAGAAATCTCATTTTTATTAATTTAGGAAATGGTTCGCCAGGAATGTAGGGTAAGTCCGGGATAGTTGGACCATGTTTTTTTTAAGTCATTTTTTCTTAAACTTCGCAATGTCTAGGATTTGGTATATTTTTTTATAATATGTATATATGACCTTGAACAATTGTAAGCACTTCTCCAGCTGTTACACTAATCACACTTGAAGTTATGATTTTTTCTTTTTTTTACTCGGTAGTCCATCTATCCCGGGGGTACTCGGGTTAGATGGACCACCTCCTAGGGATTGATGGACCTCTGGTATACGTTACTAAATCAGGGTGTAACACAAGAAATACATGTTATCAAAGGTATAAACATTGTTTATTTCAAAGTATAAAGTTATAAACTATTTGAAAAAGGATAAATAAATTTGATAGTCAATATACTTAGAAAATATAAATAGTCTGATTTATATTCACATCCATCCATCCATTCATCCATATATCCATTTATATAGAAAGTAAAGCCCTAATAGGAGATATGGTCCGCCTATCCCAGGTTTTTTCAAGTAGTCCATCTATCCCAATTGTCGGGGATAGATGGATCAGTTTCCCGTCCAGACAAACAACGCTACCGGCATGCCATTTTAGGTCAAGATTCTACTCACGTATACACTTGAGTTATAGGATTGATCTTACGTCGAAATCATTTAAACTAACTTAACCACATATCAAATAAATCCAGTATAAAATATTTTTCAACTCACCAAAAGAAATAAACAAAGTTTTCTTCTAAAATACGCATGAAACTCATGAGCAAAACTAAGCGTGGTTCCGTCTACTCAAGAAGAACAACTTCAGACAACGACTGCAGCGCTGCTGTGACACACCAGACTAGTCCGTCTATACCGGTGGTCCATATATCCCGGACTTACCCTATGTTTATACCTTGCAGTTTGAGCCACTTGTCGGCGCTTGTTCGATGCTCGTTCACAGCAAAGCTACGCGTGTCCCTCGTTGTGTCAC